TAATTCAATCAAAATTTACTTTCTCAAACTGTAAAAAGTATGAAACTTGTGATTTCTTCCTTAAACCACCCTAATATATATATATATATATATATATATATATATATATATATATATATATATATATATATATATATATATATATATATATATATATATATATATATATATATATATATATATATATATATATATATATATATATATATATTATAAAAAAAATTATAAAAACCATTTCAGGATGTTCAAAAGATTCATTCAAAGATATCCATTCAGTTGCTTGTAAAACGACATTCTCTTCATCACAAAAACTGTTCCATTTGCTCCAACAAAATGAAAAAGAACATGCTAACAATGACATTTGTTGATACAAAGATTTTAGTAAAATATTATCCTGTTTTCAAAAAAAGAAAAAAATGTATCATAATGATGAACATAAAAATGATTACCGTAGTAACCGTAGTTAAGAAAAAAATAAATTTCCTAAAACGAATTAAAAGATTAAGTTTTTAAAAGTTTTACTTTTTGGGAAACATCAATATACTTGTAGCCATCTTCATAAGGAAAAATATTAACACCAGTGCTACGTAAAAGCTTAAACAAAAATAAAAACAGTATTTATACTTAAATTCAGAGTATTAACAAGTTATTAACAGTAAATATCATACAATAGATAAAATAGATAACAAGCTACTTCAATACTTCAATAAGTTCTTTAGGTGTAACCCATTGATCATTTAAGTGATGTAAATGATAGTTATGTTTTGGAAAACTAGCACAGCATAACTCATCCTAAACAAGTTATAATTAAATTCATTACTTACTTTTAACATATATTAAAATTTATTAAAATGTATTGCTTGCTGCATTTATTTTAACAACATATCTGCTCTGTAAGATTATTTTTTTATAATCTATTATAATTATGTTGTTATCAGTTTTGATTTTGTAGCATTATTTTTATTTATTGAGGATTGCAAAGTAATTTCCTTCAATTTCCTTCTATAGAGCAAACTCCAAACTTTTATATTTTTAAAACAAGATTTTTTTTCAAAATAGTTTAATTTTTTCAAAATTGTTTGAATTCTAGTTTTTTTCAAAAACCTAGAATTCAAACAATTAACCTCAAATGTGAGGAAAAAAGACACTTTTAAAAAAGATTCTCTTTTCAAGAGAATAGAAGTTTTTTGACAAATTTCAAATTTCATTAAAAAAAATATTTACCATTTAAAAATTACAACCACACAATGATTACAGCTCCTTCCCAATAAGGGCAATGTAAACTGCCCTTAAACTTTAAAAAAAAAATTATTGATAAAATTTGAAAAAATAAAACTTATTTCAGATACCTTAATTGTAATAAATATTTCCATGGCCACACCAACAACTTTAAGGATGCACTTATTTAAAGCAAGTGGACAAACACTCCAATATTGAAAAGGCATGTTATAATACACATCCTAAAGAAAATAAAAAATGGAATTATTAACAGAAATAAAATTAATCACTGTCAGCATTTACCAAAAATGTAGCACTGGAAAAAAAAACGAACTATAAAGGGCAGGATCAAAAAGTTGTGATCAAAAAGGAATGACCTTTGTAAACTAAATTGGAAATTAAAAAAATAAATAAAAACGTTTAGATGGGGGAAAAAATACCTAACAAACTACCTTATAAACATTTATTTAACTTTGAGAAAAGAGATTGTTAGTAGAATTCTAAATTTTTAGTTATAGGCATTAAAAATTCATGGAAGGAACAATAGGCTCCTTCTGTGACACAAGTTTCATTGGCTATAACAAAAAAGTTACTATTCCGCATGCAACATCTTTACCTGAAATTAAATAGGTCTTTATAGGTAGCATGTTAGGTATTATTGCCCCCTTGTAAACGTTTTTATTTTTTTTTTCATTTCCAGTTTAGTTTATAAAAGTCATTCCTTTTGATAAAAAAGACTTTTCAATCCTGCCTTTATTAATTTATATATGCATTTTTCAGAAAAAGTTTTTTTCTGAAAAAGGCATATATAATATAATCATTTAATGATTCATTGGCCATAATAGTTTTTTTAACTAAATTTAAACTAAAGTTAATTCTAGATAAAAACATCTATAATTAAAAACAAAATTACGCTATTGCACTTGTCATTTCACATGCAATACATTGTCATTCCACATGTAATTCATTGTCATTCTACATACAATTTGTTTTTAACAAATTTTTACAACTTTTACAATTATTACAAGTTTTTATTTTTTTGGTTCATTTGCACTTTAAGAAAAATACAAAATGATTATACATGTAATATCAAAGTTAACCTTGTGTAAACAGATAAACAGATTAATATAATATACAGTGGTATTAAATATTGTACTTTATTAAATTTGACATAAAAAAGGCAAGAAAGATAAATAGATGACACAATTAGGTGAAGAACACTAAATTTTATTAACTCTTTTCAGAAAAAAATCTCTGTCATTATTACATTTGTTATGTGGAATTTTCATTGCATCTTATGAGAAAGAGTAAATTTTAAAAAAAAGTCAAAAAGATTGTCTAATTTTTTAAGACACGAACATCTAGGAAAATATTTTATATAATTTTATAGAACATTATGATTTCAAACTTAATTCTACAACATTCAAGGAAGTTGACAAGTCTTGAAGAATAATATTTATCAGGAATATGACATTTTTCACAGACAACTCTAGAAAAATTTTTCTAAACTAATATCACTTAATCTTACTTAATAATAAAAACAACAATAAAAAAATAATAATGATTACATTGTTGTTAATATTAGCATAATTTTTTGAAATAATATCAATAACAATATTAATAACAATAATGATAATAACTATAGTAATAATAAAAATGTTAATAGTAGGGCATTTCTAAAAAATCATGCACGGAAACTCATATAAATTTTATCTATTATTTTCATGATAAATAAAATTTAGTCTTATTTAACTCTAATCTATATAAATATTTTGTTAACAAAGAATGGTATACATTAGTAATGTTATTAAGAAATAAATAAGTTTAAAGCAGAATCACGCACGGAACAGAAAAATGCAAATATTAATTGCTTGAAAATATAAGTTTTAGCAGTATACTTTTTTTTTAAACAATATTTTTTATATTAGTAAAGATTTCTAGAAAGTTACAGGATTGCACTATGTATCATAGAGTCACAACAATTGTTTAAATACAGTTCATGTATAGTCACGTAGAGAAGTCGCGCAGGGAATAGCAAATTCATCAAATTTATGTAGTTATTTTTATGAAAATAAATTACTTGTAAGTTTATCAAGTGAAATATTATATCTCTACAACTCATATTTAATATATTTTCAGTGATAAAAAGCAGTCATTAAATATTTCTAGCTGGAGTATTTCTTGCGTTTAGAAAATCATTATATATTTTTCAAACTGTTGCAACATTACCACAGAAAAAAAATAAAATGATAAAAATATATATATTTAAACATTCAGGCCTAAAATATGATAAAAAGATTTTTGTTATAATTGTTCTTTAAGATAATTATAATAGTATGTATATTGCTTAAAGTCCCAGCGTCTAATTGTTCTTTAAGATAATTATAATAGTATATTGCTTAAAGTCCCAGCTTCTAATTGTTAAAGCAAAGAAAGAAAAAAATTACACACAGAAATGGAAATGCCTAGTAATAATAACAGTTTATTTATTAAAGATTTTTTAAACAAGTAGTGCTTGCAGTGCATTCTTGTTTTAGAATATTGACTCACAAATGTAAAAAAAGTCATACCTGCATCAACGCAAAAGGACCCAGCACATCTGTCCGAAAAAACAAAAGATTCTCTTCTAAATAAATTTTAGATTATTTAAAAGTGCCTATAATTATTATTAATTCCAATTTGTACAGTTCTTATTTTCAAATAATACCTTTGTCATAACGTGTATCCGAAATTCCATTAGTTTTCCATTGTTTTGTCAATGAGTCCCAATGAGCTATCTGGGGAGTATCATATAAAACAATATTTTCATCAATACTGTAAAACAGAAAATCAATTGAAACAGAGTTAAAACCTGACTGTTTTTCAATTATAATTATTACATAAGCATGAGGATACAATGAGCTGTTTAGGTCCTATGGCTAAGTTAACTTATATATTTAAGACATTTTGTAGTTATTTGTAGTAACAGAACTTTTTAGTTATTTGTCGTAAAAGAACTTTGTACTTATTTGTAGTAACAGAACTTTGTAGTAAATAATGTAGTTAAGATTCTGGATTTGAGCATTAGCTAAAACAAGCTTTATTTCAACTTTGGAAGACATCCCAACCATACCAGATAAACAGGTTGATATAATAACTTATATTACAGTAATAAATGAAAATTGTTACACTAGAACACTTTTTTGTGTGAAGTTATTTAACAAATTATAGTTGATTGCTTGATAATTACATTAATTTATGTTTTAAACCAACAGCCCATTTTACCTCAAGTTCTCAACAACTTATTTTCAAAATACTGACCTTACTGTCAAAACTAATGGTGATGGATTTTCATCTTTATTATAAGTAAAACTCTTGAGTTTGCCATAATTAACTATAAAGTAGGAAAATAAATAATTTAAAAAGCTAGATAAAATTTTTCTTCAAAATAAATTGTTTAGATTCAAGCAATATTTATATTTATAAATTGATAATATTTATATATTGATAAAAGCATTGAAAAAAATTTCGATTAAATTATACATAAAATAAATTTTTGAACTGTAAAAAAAAATTTTTTTTAAATAATTTTTTTTCGTTAAAACAGTAAACTACTTGTTGTTTTTTTTTAAATTTTTTTAATTTTAATTTTTGTTTAAATTTGAATTCAAAATTTGATAAAAAAAAACAACAATATTATTTATGTTTTCTTTCTCTATTGTGACCACAAACTTCTTTATTACTATTAATGCTTGTCATAAAGTTTAAAACCCAATGACTAAATAATAAAATTACTTTTAATTACAATTAATCAAAGCTTTAATCAAAACTACTGTTGATATAATTTATGATACCTGTTACATTTAAGTATTTAAAAAAAAAAAATCATATTGTTGATATTATCTAATATCTATAAATATTATTAATGATATTATTAATATCTATAAATATTATTAATGATATTATTAATATCTATAAATATTATTAATGATATTATTATTCTTTTTTTTAAAATGCAGTTTTCGAAAAAGTATAAAAAATTTTTAAATACTAAAAACACAATAATGCAATATTATTTATAACATAGTTAACTAATTTTTTTTCTGCTATATAAGATATAATGTTGACACATTTATTTGCAATTAAAGAAATAAAATTAAAAAAACAATCAAAACTATGTAAAAAAACTCTATAACATTATTTTATAAAAATATAAACAATATTAAAAAAAAAAAGGTAATAAAAAAAATCACTAATAGTAGACCTTCACACAATACATTTTTTAAACTTAAATTTAATGAAAATATTATCACTGATCACACTGCCTCATCCAATATAGTCAACAACATTTTAGTACTATCAGATCCATAATGCAAAGCGTGTCTTAATATTTTTAAAATTGACTTTCAAAAATGACTTTTAAAAATTGACTTTCAAAAAAAACATTCCAAAAAAACTCCTTATTCTAGTCATGTTTTTTTCTCTAATTTTTACTATTTATTGATTCATCTCCCTGCTTTCATCTTCCTGCTTTCTAAATTAAGTAAACTCTTTGTAAAAGTTATCCATAATAAACTCGCATGAATATAATTCATAACAAACTCTTTTTTTTCCATCACTCCATGACTCCATACTGTCTTTGATATGACTGAATCAATTAGACTTGTTGATTATAAATATTTACTTCTTTAAGAACTAAGGTTATTGATAATTTCTGAACCTTTAAAACCAGCTTATTCAACTTTTTAATAAACAAATACAAATTTGTTGTTAATAAAAAAAATTTTCTGGACAATTATCTGGACTTGCTTGGTTCAAAAACTAATTCATCTTAATTCTAATGTAATTAATTTTTCCCTCGGACATTCAGTGCTTATACGTGACCATTTGACAAAATTAACAAAATTTTAAATAGTAATTTACTAATAAATACTAATAAAATTAAATTGCATACAAACTAAAATATCTCACCTTGTTGCATGTTCCAGCCTTTAACTACTTTTGCTTGATTTGGAAGTTCAAATAAATCAACAATAAAAATTGAACCAATAGGATGATATTGTCTCAAATCAATGATTGTTTCAAGTAAATTATTTTCATCTGTGTTGGTGGAAACTTTAAATTTTTTTGTAATTATTTTTCAGTAATAAAAAAATTATAATAATAAAAAATCAGATTTAAGATTTAAGAAGTATATATATATATATATATATATATATATATATATATATATATATATATATATATATATATATATATATATATATATATATATATATATATATATATATATATATATATATATATATATATATATATATATATATATATATAAATATATGTATATATATATATATATATGTATATATATGTATATATATATATATATATATGTATATATATGTATATATATATATATATATATATATATATATATATATATATATATATATATATATATCAACCCTCGGAATTAGGGTCGGCATTTGGCAATGCCAAATATATATATATATATATATATATATATATATATATATATATATATATATATATATATATATATATATATATATATATATATATATATATATATATATATGTATATATACATATATATACATGTACAAATTGTGTTGTATTTCTTAAATAACTTACTTTCTTTATCTCCACTAATACTCTGTACTTCAGTAATACATTGATTAGCATTTATTGAAGACCCTTCAACTGTTTTCTCCTAAAAACATATAAATCATATTTAAATTAACTGCTTTTTTTGTTGAAATAATAAAAAAGAACATACTAATCTTAGTGAGAAAAATTCAAATATTATAAGATATAATAAAAGTAAAAATCAATAATACTTTAGAGACTTCTAGTATGTTTTGAACAGCATTTATTTTCATAGAATATGTTGGACACTGGATTGAAAAAATGTCTAATTTCATGTAAATAACACGAAGAGCAACATCTGCTAATGCCATGAATTTCGGAAGCTCCATTGTAAACTTATCATTTTGAAAAGTAATTTGCTTGACTCTGAATATTAATTGTAGAAAAATATAAGTATAATTCTAATTCTTTAAATGATACAATTCAAATTATAGTTATTTTTAAATGATACAGTTCAAAGTATAGTTTTATATGTGTATATTTATATATAAAATTTATAAAATATATATATATATATATATATATATATATATATATATATATATATATATATATATATATATATATATATATATATATATATATATTATATATATATATATATATATATTATATATATATTATATATAAATTTATAAAATATATATATATATATATATATATATATATATATATATATATATATATATATATATATATATATATATATATATATATATATATATATATATAAAGGAAAAAAAAGCCAAGCAAAACAACAATATTCAAAAAATGAATCAATTTTTTATATTAAAATACTACTAAGAAAATATTAAATAGTACTAGAGGCCTTTCAGTATTGATCATCAGTTGTACTATTGCCTTACTGATGATTAATACTGAAAGGCCTCTAGTACTATTTAATATTTTCTTAGTAGTATTTTAATATAAAAAATTGATTCATTTTATGAATATTGTTGTTTTGCTTGGTTTCTTTTTCCTTCATATTGTTTTAAATAAATTGCTTGCTATATATATATATATATATATATATATATATATATATATATATATATATATTATATATATATATATATATATATATATATATATATATATATATATATATATATATATATATATATATATATATATATATATATATGTATATATATATATATATATATATATATATATATATATATTATATATATATATATATGTATATATATATATATATATTTATATGAATATATATATATACTCTTGCTTGGTCGTCTTATAGTTTTTACCATAAAATGTCAACTTTAAGTGTTTTTTTACTTTTTAATTATTTGATAGACTGCCTGCCCAAACCAAACCCTCAGTCAATTTAGCAACACTCCTTTGTAAATCGAGCTATTTGTCAGTCGATGTAGCAGCACTGCGTTTCGAGTCAGACTATTTGTCAGTCAATGTAGCACCACTCCATTACAATTCAGGCTATTTGTCAGTAGATGTAGCAGCACTATGTTGCGAGTCAGGCTATACAATAGTCTATGTAGCAAGTCTCAACGCATATTTTACAGTTAAAAAATAAAAATAAAAATTTTTATTTAAAAAAAAAATGTTTTTAGAAAACATTTTAGTCTTTTAATTTGTGGTTTTGTGGTTTAATTACTTCCTGCAATTAAATAAATGTGTATATATATATATATATATATATATATATATATATATATATATATATATATATATATATATATATACACATATATATACATACATATATACAGGCTTGGACAGGAATGGCGTGCGATTGCACTCTGTAACTGACCACGCTAATATTTTTATTTCTTTACAAATTGACCACAGCCTTTTTGATGTTTTAACAATTTGAATGCAATAAAAAAAGTGTTACGTTATAAATATCTTTTAATCGTTGATCTTTTCTAAAGTTTTTTATTTTACGCAAAGGCTTTAAATAAAACCATAAAATTAGTTATAGTTATTGTTTACATAAACGCTTGTGTAAATTAATAAAAAACATTATAAATAAGTTTTTTTTATGTAGGCCTTTATTTTTTATGATAAATTTAAACGTTTGAAACTATTTTCTTATGTCTTCCTAAAATATTTTTAAACCATTATTTTTAGAAAGAATTTTTTTAAGTTACTTTAATTTGTGAATAAGTTCAAAAGCTTTTGTGACTACTAACTTTTACACATTTTATGTGAATTACACAAGAATATAAAATAACTTTATTTACTAATATAAGCATGTATTTTGTTGATTAAATGAAAAAGTTTTAAAGCATTTTGTAATGTTCATACGATTAATTTTTATGATTAAACTTACGATTTTTTAAAATGTTTTAAATAAACATTTTATTTTTTGTAAACAATTTTTTTTTTTTTTTTTTCAATTTCGTTATAAATGAATGAGATTAAATCTTTCATAATAATTTTTAAATTCGTTACACGAAGCGCTTATTAATAAAGTTGTAATGCTCAAATTAAAATTAAATAATAAAGTTTGTTGGCAGTTTATTTTATTTAAATCGCAGGCGCATTTTATTTATTTAATTTTCTATTTTTACAAATAAAAAAGTTTAAAACCTTTTTTTTTAAATAGACTCACTAATTAGAGCATGAAATTAGTAAAAATTACTACTTTAAAAAGCCTATTTTTGAATAAATTTAATAAAATTTGTTCTTTTATTAAATCAATCGTTAGTAGTAATTTGTTATTTAATTTAAAAACGTTTTGCGTAACTTTAATAACGCTTAGAAAGATAAGTTTTGATAACGTTTATTTTATACGTAATTAAAAATGTAACAAAAAGTTTCGCTTCGAGTTTAAGTTTTTATTTTCATTTTAGTGCTTATATGATTTCTTTTTCGTTATGAATTTGTTTTTTGTTTCTTTTTTCCTTAGTTTTTTTTTTCGTTAGTTTTTATTTTAATTTTTTTCCTAGTTTAAGTTTAGATTAGCATTTCTACATTCAGAACATTTCTGAAATTTTTAACTTATCAAAACATATAAACATTGTTTATTAAACAATCATGGTCAAGTTGTCAAAAAATAAAAAAAATTTGCGTGGTCAGCAATAGTGCTCGATCGCCATTTCTGTCCAAGCCTGTATATATATATATATATATATATATATATATATATATATATATATATATATATATATATATATATATATATATATATATATATATATATATATATATATATATATATATACACATATATGTGTATATATATATATATATATATATATATACATGTATATATATATACATATATATATATATACATATATATAATTATCCCATTCTTATCCATCTACTAAAATATATATATATATATATATATACATATATGTATATATATATATATATATATATATATATATATATATATCTATATATATATATATATATATATATATATATATATATGTATATATATATATATATATATATATATATATATATATATATATATATATATATATATACATATATGTATATATATACATATATATAATTATCCCATTCTTATCCATCTACTAAAATATATATATATATATATATATATATATATATATATATATACATATATGTATATATATACATATATATAATTATCCCATTCTTATCCATCTACTAAAATATATATATATATATATATATATATATATATATATATATATATATATATATATATACATATATGTATATATATACATATATATAATTATCCCATTCTTATCCATCTACTAAAATATATATATATATATATATATATATATATATATATATATATATATATATATATATATATATATATATATATATATATATATATATATAATTCTTATCCATGTACTAAAACAAAATATATATATATATATATATATAATTCTTATCCATGTACTAAAACAAAAGTTTTGTTAAAATTTAAGATAACTTGAAGCATTTTTAGAGGTTGCACAAGATTCTTAAACACCAGACAGTTCTTTTTTAATTTAAAACTAATTAAAATTAGCTTTAAATTACGTGCAGTAGTGGTGTAGTGGTAGGCAGGGGTGAATCCAGCATTTTTTGGTATTTGAAATAGCTAACTTCTAGATATGGAGCAAAATCCAAACTGTCAAATAAGGATGTTTTTCAAAAATTTGCAGTAATTGGAGCCTGGAAACAAAAAAGCCTCAAAACGCCCCTCTCAAATGTGAGAGCGACAAATTGATAAAATATTTGTTGTACTATTCTCAATTAGAATTATTTTCATCAATATATTTAGTATAATCTCTTAGCATTTAAAAAATTTTCCATATAAAATTTGAAACTCTCTTAAATTTTAGGGGGTTTAAACTTTATATGGTCATATTTTTTGACAGCTAAAATTATATACTATAAAACTTAAAATTTATTTGCAAAGCATCTATATTTTACATAACAGATATTATACATAAGTTCAACATGTAAATGTTTGAAGTTTGCTATATGTCTGGAAATTGCCTAACTCAAAGACCAAAAAATGCTGGATCCATCCCTGGTGGAAGGGCGCTCGCCTGGTAAGCAAAAAAATTTCAAGTTCAATTACCACACTCAACTTATTTCTCTAAGTATTAGCCTACTTTTATTTTATACCCTTCCCAAAATTACATAATTAGTTAAATAACCTGCAAAAAATAGTTATTAAAATTGTTATTATAATAACTTGTAAACTAAACGCATATTTAAACCAAAATGTTGTTATGTGTTTTTATTTAATTCAAATGATAAATTATAGCGACTCAAAGAATACAACAAGTTTTATTCTGACGACATGCTCAGACACATTTAATAGACTTTAATTGCTACATTTGTAAAATAATACTTTCTAACTGTGTTTAAAAAGGTTTTGAAAACTATTTTATCAGTAAAACCATATCTATTAGTTTAAACAATATAATTAGGAAACAGTGTTATACTTTCTTTCACTTTGGTATAAATGCAGGTGTCAAATCTCAGACCTCATGGTTTCAAGCCAGAACTCTAACCACTGAACCATAACTGCAATCAGTTTAAGTATGTAAATATTTATACCTAAGCTATTGTTGTCCCATTTTTTACATAGGAAAGTAAAGCGTTAAACTAATTAAAACTAAAATTCTGATTGCGTTCTCCTACAGATAAATTAGGACAATGACAATACTAGCCTAAGCTTAATTTAGCATCAATCAGTGTACAGTAAAGCTTTTTGTCTTCATATGTTGATATAAAATTAAAAAAATTCCGGTTAATTTTATTTCAACATATGTTGTTCATATGTTGATATAAAATTAAAAAAATCCTGGATAATTTTATATCAACATATGTTGTTCATATGTTGATATAAAATTAAAAAAAAT